GGCCATTTTGTTTCATGTGGCCGCAGAGCTCATTTTACCTGTGAGGGCAAGCAGTTAGCACTGCCTTGAATGGCTCTGCAGTGGAAGGGCCCCGATGAAGGACTCCCTCTAAACTTTAAAAACAAAGTGTGCCCCTTATTAAAGGAATTTTTGCAGCCTTTTCCCTTCTTTAATGAGAATCATAAACCTGCAGGCATGTGAGGTCTCTTATCTGGTGACTGACTTCAGTACCATGTGAGTTACTGTTGCTGACCAGGTGTCCAAATTTTTTCTAAAGGTGCAAAATTTTTTCCTGAGGAGATTAACCTTTCTGTAGATGGCCCAGAGCAAAGACTGTGAGTAATTTTAATATCCAGTACAGCACAAAGCAACTTGTTTATTCACAGTGTGACTGTTGCAAAGAGGGGAGGGGAAATTCCTAAACTAAAAAAAGGCAAGCTTTGATGTTTTAACTCAATACTTAATCAAAGACATTTATGTGAAATTTGTTCAAATATAATTGAAATTTTCCTCATTTTAATTTTGAAACTGAAAATCTGGATCTGTTGAACTAATAGTATGTTTGATAGACATAGGCTAACAGGTGAGACGCAGAGCCTGCTTGGATATGTATGAGAAAAAAAACCCAGCACATATAGTTCTGTATGGTTTTTGAACACTGCTCTAGACTTTTTAAGTCTAACACCATTAAAGCCTTTTATTTTTGAGTTTAATCCCACTGCCTGATTCTCAAATACTTTAGGACTTGCTTTGAAATATTAATGGTGATTAAGTATCCGGCTTTTAGTTCTTCACTGTCCCACTCTTTCTTTCACCCCTACAAGGTGACTCTTCTAAAGCTTTTAGTGATGATGTACCATTCAGTAAAGATTTTATTTAGATACTGAAGCGTTACCAACGGTGAGTACTGTAACATAACATTTGTGTAGTGACGTAGGAGTGATGTGTGTTGCTTGAAGAGAGGAACATGCTATATAGATCACAGCTGAGCAACTGCCTGAAAGAATATTACATTATCGATAATCTCACAAAAAATGCAAACCAACTCCAGGTCCGCTGAGCATCCAGAACTTGCTAGGGTTTTTGGGTTTATTGTGGGGTTGTTGTTTTTTTTACTGGTTGATATGCTAACCTGGAGCAGTTCTCTGCCAAATGCCCTTATTTTATGGCTACTGGATTTGGGCAAAATGTTGACATAAAGACAACACATGTTGTTGCAGAGCTGTTTCAAACATCAGTAACCGTGAGTTTTGTTATTATGCTGTCTTGATCTTCTTTGTGTGCCTTCAAGGAAATCAGTAATTTCAATTAGCAGTCTTAGAGCAAGTTCCTTCCATGGATTAAACC